TCCTCGGCCGGCGGATCGGGCAAGTTGGCCACCAACGGGACCATTTGTCCGCGTCGGGTAATGAACATCGACCAAGATCGGGATAGGTGCAAGGTTGCCGATCTCAACCAAGCGAAGTTGCGGCGCGTTGCGTTCTGTGTCGACGTGGAGATCGCGGGGCTCTCGTATCGAGAGTCGGATGAGGAAGCCCCCGCGGTCAATAGCAAGCATCAGATCGTCCCGGACTTGAATGGCCCAAAGGTTAAGAGATCGAATTCGAAATCGAAGGATAAAAAGGACAAGAATGAGACTACACCGGCAAAGTCCGCACAAGCTTCAGTGTCCGTCAAGGAAGGAAATGCTCCGGAACAAGCTGTTAATGGAAAACCCACGGGTTCGACTGACACAGCCGCCGCCGATTCAACGCCCAACGGGGAGAGCAAAGAACCGACCAGGAAACAGGAGAAGAAGAAGAGATCAGAGGAGGAGCGCAGGGAGCGGAGAGAAAGGAGGCGGAGACAGGCAGAAGCTAATGGCACAATCCCTATGCAATTGACAGCGGACGGCGAGGAGTACGGCATTCGGACACCTGCGTCTAGCACAAGTCGTCCCAAGACACAAAGTCACCCGACTACGGATCCTGTTCGCATCTATCGGCGCTGTTGCCAGTTACGTGAGACGCCCGTGCTGAAGAGGATAGTGGATGAGATATCCAAGCCGTCTTCTACTCTGGCGGAGTCTCCGGGCACCGTGGCTGTGCTTGACCTGAGCAATTTCCCAATGACATCTGAGGACATGGCTACGTTCTGCGACTGGCTGGCTGTTGTTCCGGTTCGAAAGCTTATTCTAGAAGAGTGTGCCTTGACGGATGATCCGGTTCGGTCTATTCTTGCTGCTTTGCTCTCCACGCGGACGGTTGAGCATATGTGGGGCAAACGCAAAAGGGGCAATAAATCAGAGGTCCAGTCTGTGGAAAAGGAAGAGAGGTTCAGCGTCATCGAAAAGTTGTCACTCAAAGGCAATCCTAAAATAGGTACGGAGGGATGGCTTCATATTTGTCTTTTTGTCCACCTTTCGAAGTCCTTGAAGGCCATTGATCTCTCAGGCATCCCACTTCCCCGGGTACCTATACCTATCACTTCCTCCGGGAAGTTGGCAGTCCAGCCTGGGAACTGTACAACAGCCTCCACCGAGTTGACAGCTGTCTTCGCCAACGCGCTCTCACAACGGTATGGCGGAGATCATCTTGAGGAACTTCTCCTCAGTGAATGTGACCCGACAATCGAGGATACCCAGCGGATCTGCGATGCAGCGACCACTGTAGGTCTGAGGAGACTTGGGTTCGCCAACAACGGGCTTTCACGGGAGAGCTTGGAACATGTTGTGCGCTACTTGAAGGCTGGAAAATGCGAGGGTCTTGACTTGGGCGGAAATCCGATTCGGGATCACCTTGACTTGATCACATCTGCTGTCTCTGAAGTCCACCCGCTCTATGCGCTGAGTCTGGCTGATTGCTCGCTCACGCCCACTGCGGTCTATCCATTGCTGCAGGAGCTGGCCTGCTTGCCTGATCTGCGCTTTGTTGATTTCTCACACAACCCGGACCTGTTCACCGTCAAACCCGACGCATTGCCAACCTTTAGGCGCTTCCTTCCGAAAATGCCTGCGCTCAAGCGGATTCATCTCGCTGATGTGAACCTGTCACCTGATCAGACTATCGCGTTAGCCGAGGTTCTGCCGGAGTGCCCGAGCCTATGCCATCTCAACATCCTGGAAAATCCCTTGATCACGGCCCTGGCTTCAGCAACTGATCCTGCGACCCAGGAAGAAGCGTGCGCGGTTTATGCCTCGCTGATGGCAGCCGTGCGCGTGTCTCGCACCATTATTGCTGTCGACATTGAAGTTCCAACTGCGGAGAACAATGAAGTTGTCAAGGCTCTGGCATCTCAAATTGTTGCCTACTCTCTCCAAAATCTTGAACAGGGTGCCATGGCGGTCGAGCTTTCGGACTCTTTCGACATTTCGGCTACACGCTCAACCGTGCATGTTCCGGAGATTCTGCAGCACATCGTCGGTCATGGTGCCGGAGAAGAAGTCGTTGAAGAGGACGACGAGCCGGCGCCTGATGAAGACTATGTTATCGGTGGTACCGGCGTGGTCAAAGCATTGGGTGTCTGCCTTGGTAATCTCGACCGCTCTTTGCCAGGGGACCAATCTGGGCCTCCCAGTGGCACAGCGACACCTCGACACCGGAAATCACGGTCCTTCGTAACTAGGAAGCCTCGGGACATGTCTAAAAACCTCCTGGAATCTGCACGCAACATTCGGACCCGTATCCAGTCGGCCCTCGTACGTGAAGATCGGGCTGGCAATGATAACAATTACAGTAAGATTTGTCCCTTTTCTTCGTTCCGCAACCCGCACTAACTTTCTATTCTCACCAGGGCGTCTCCAGTTCCTGGATTTCACCTTGCAGAGGATGATCCAGCGATTCGAAGACGAATATCCTGAGACGCGGATTGTACCGCAGGCAATTCCATACAGTTTCCCCGAAACCAGCTCCCAAAATTCCGGCGAAGATGGATGGGGAGCGCCCGCTGGCGACGGCACACCGCCCAATGCCGCGAACGGCGACGGCGAGGCCGCCGCGGACGACGAGGATGATCACCAGTACGCGGTCCGCCTCTCCCGGGCGAGCTCGATCACCTCCCTGCATTCGCGCGCCATGACCCACGAGGAAGGCCACGTGCACCGCCTGGGCCAGAATCTGCGGCGGGATTTCCTCAGCCCGTCCTTCGACGCGACGGACGATGACCCGTCGTCTTTAACATTCGACGAATCCCATATCGCGGCTCTGCGCGACAAGCTCGACCGCCTGCACGTGGAGCAAATGCGCTCGAACTTTGAGAGTGTGAACGCCGCCAAGACATTCAAGGATCTCGGCACCACGGTAGACGAGCTCTGGGCGGCGCAAAAACAGGATTCCGAGACCTTCGAGAAGTTCCGCCAGAGCCAGATCGCCGCGCAGTTCAACAGCGGCAAGAAGAGACCTTCGTCTCCTTTGCCCGGTTCGTTTCAACGGACGAATCAGGCCCCCGAGCCTGATCGGTCACCACCCTGTTAGAAAAGGGTGTATCATTTAACTGAACCCTTATATCTCCAACGACTATTGCCTCGTTGGGGTTGGGTATACTTTCTTTTCTATGTTGGCCATCTGATCTTAATTTATTTCGTCATGGGAGTCGGGTAGCCAGCCACTTCTTTGTAAAACTGTGCATTTTTTTGGAACTTTGATCATGGGAGAGGACTTTAGCACAGCGATGTATATATCTGATTGTTTCTTTTCGACTCAAAGTGGTTTTTATATGGTAGCGTGTCCATCGAGAATGGGCTATTTTGGACCTTGACAGTGCTTATTATTTATTTCGAATATTCTTCCTAGTAGTTATATCACTGGAATGTTTTACTGCGAGTCCTGTCTGCTTAATTGTGGCAGGTGCTGCTGCTTTTGGAAGAGGTACTTACTGATTACTTCATAAACTCACACTAGCTGCTCTGGCTACTCTTGGATTGTACGAGGGGCCTACACCGCTTCAATTGAAACTGTTATTACTTCCTCCATAACTATCACCAGGCCTCTGAACTGTGTATGGACTAAATCACAACAATACAAGCTAACAGACCATCACTTTTGCAGGGGTGTTATTTATTTCTCTTTAACCACAACGCAGAATAGTATAGCTAAGAAAATCCCCTTGCTTGATACCCCACAGAAATAACCAAGCTCGTCAGCGACAACCAACCACAAGAACAGTACTTCCCCCACTTACACCCAGAGATATCGATCTAGGCTCCTTGCTATTGCGCCTTTTGTTCTTCCACCATCACTCCTTGCCTTGCAATTTCTTGCGGATCCCGCTTCGACATGTTAAGTATCATGGGGGGTGCTCTGTCCTTTAGAGTCGTAAGGTAGAAAACCCAGGAGTATTGTTTATGCAAGTCCACTTTCCCTCGATACCCGGCTAATACTACAAGGTAATCGCACATCACACCACAAGTCCATCGGCATAGGTACAGTACAGCTACTATATCAAACTTATATATCAAGAATAATTGACACTCTACAGCCCACCGAGTTAAGCCTGTACACAGCAACAACAAGCTGTCAAAGTATCTCAAAGCGGGCCTGCGGGCCTAATCTACTCTATCACTACAGAGTACGGAGTAGTATCTACTGCTGAAGGGCGGTCCGTACAGCCCCGGGGCGGATAAGACTTCCGGAGCACCACCCAATCGGGCCCATCGAGATCCTGTTCGACAAGTCCCAAAACTGGAATTCGTGCACAATCCCAAGCCTGATTGCCTCGGGGAAATATACGTCTAACTAAGTGGATTGGTTGTCGAGTTAGCAGGAAAGGCTCATACATTGATATGTGAATCATAGTAACTGGACCTACTGCACTGGAATACCGCAGGCTCAAAGCAAATCACTTCTGTACAAAACGGAAGGAGGGTCTGCTTGATAAATCGTCGAATAGTGGTTGATTATCGACTCACCCCCGAAGCTATCATATATGGAAGGTTGTTAGTAGTTACAACTCGTATACACTGCAGTGCACTCAGTGATCGCCCACTGAACACGCAGGACCATAGATATCGCCTTAGTCCAAGAATTCCTCGATGTATTGTGACACAAGCTTCGCAACTTCATTAACCTAGAAAGTAAATGAAACAAATGACTCGTTAGTAAGAGTGTAAGTTGTCCCACGCTTTTTGTTCTCGGATCAAAAAGACTTCGGGGGTTCTTTCATCTTTCTAATCATGGCTCTCTTTCCTTTTCTGTCCTGCCCTAGACGAAACACATACCTGCTTTATTCTTGCTTCCAGATGGATCGGGCTCGGCAGGGTCATATGCCGGGATACCTGCTCTGGGTTCTGGGCGGTATTCCGGTCTCCGCGTTTGGGGACTCAACAGTCCCTTTGTGAGATGCACCCAGCCGTTCGATGTTTCTTCAACCTCAATGGCCAAGATGTATGTCACCGAGATTGTGAGATTGGATCCTTACGGACCATATTTGCTAGGTGGATGGTGAGTTGAGTTTTCCACTCTTCATCTTCGCTTTGGCGGAAGGCTTCCTATACAACAATAACCGTCACTCGATCTGTTTTCTATTTTATTTCGACTCTTCGTTTCTGTCAGGAAACACCGTTGCTAACATGGACCTTGTTTATCCCCTTATAGGAGCGTTGGAGGCATTCTAGCCTTCGAAGCAGCCCGACTTCTCCGCGAGCTGAACAGAGTCGTGCAAGGCCTTTTCCTTATAGACGCCCCCTGCCCTGGAACGATTCCACCTCTGTCGCAGGACACAATCCAGCTACTTGACCGGCTTGGGGTCATCACCAGCAAAGAATTGCAACCGCAACCACGACCGCAACTGCAGCAGCAGTGGCGGCGGCCTGGGCGAGAAGAAAGCATTCGTGCGCATTTCATGGGCACCATTCAGGCGCTAAAGACATATAATCCTCTATCGACCAGGGAGGATGATGCTTATGATGCGCCACCACCGCCCAAATGTCTGACTCTTTGGGCGAGCGATGGTGTATGGGAAACCATTGAGAAAGCCAAAGGCGCAGCAGCAGCCGCCAGCATGCGGGTGGCAATAGAAGATGATCACGATACTGCTACTCCTGCTCATCGTTGGATCATGGAGAAAAGAACTACGACTGACTTGGGAGGTGGTGGTGGGTGGGAGGCGCTCTTACCTAGAGTTGAGGTAGAGGTGGTATCTGGAGACCATTTTACAATCATGAGATCGCCACAGAACCATTGTATGCGGAGTCGCCTTGCAACTGTACAGACTGGCAGACAGCGGCCGGCGATTGTACCTTGTCTTGGGAGATGCCGACTGGCAGAGGAAAGCTCGGAAGAGATGTCGACGACCGTGAATGGAAGTACCTTTCGGCGACTGCAAAGGTCGGATAGTCTGAGAAGAATGAGTGAGGAAGCCTACAGCCGCTCTGGTTCTGGAAAGCATTGAGGATAGCGAGACCCAGTAGGGAGTCGATACCCAGATCAGCGAAGTTCGTGCCCGAGATGACAACATCCCGGGGATCCACCTCGCTCTCAACGAAAATCACGGACTTAAATGCCTGGAAAAGGTCTATGGGCTCTTTCGCAATGCTCGTTGTCGGTGTGAGGATCCCAGTGCCTTCTTCTGGAGAACTTTGGTTGACCTGTTCATCGCCATCATCGCCTGATTTTGTCGCCTGAAGGTACGGGCGGAGATCACCAAGGGTTTTACTAGAGATAAGTGCTGACCTACTGATCTCGACTTGTAGCTCTTGTTGCAACCAGGCGACCACTGCAAAGGAAAGCAAAGAATCAAGCCCGATCTCGGCCAGATTAGTCTTTTCAGTCACCTCATTCACTAGAACCTCTGTTTCATCAGAGATGCAGGCCCTTAGTCTTGCAAAGGGGGTTTCATTAGTTCTCGGACGATCCGCAGCTTCTAAGGTACGCGATTTTCTTTGTTCAGGTTTTGCTATTGCCAGCGCTGCTCGAGTTGAAGGCAGCAGAACATCCAAAAGCCTCCTCTTGACTGCCTTGAATCTGACATCGGTCACAAGGCCAATAACGCGATTGCCGTCCTGCTCGAGAATGTATACGTCAGCCGACATGACATCCTTGTCCCCAGATGCTTGCGACTCCTGCATGTGGACATATGCCTGATATGCCCGGTCGCCGAAATCGAAGTGGCAAAGCGCATGCTTTTCCAGCCATGCGAGATATACGCCGTATCCTCTGGGATGGCCTCGCTCACATTAAGGATAAATCCGGAAAGGTGTATGAGACTGTCAAGCCAATGGGGGGAGAAGGTAAACTTGCTGTTCGTCGCGATTGATGCAAATCGAATCTGGGCTGCAGCCTCGAAAAGGTCGGAGTCCACCCATACCTCATCCATCCCTTGGAATGGCTTGCTATACTTGAAGAAGCTTGAAAACAGCCTATAGATCATACTGCGCTTCAATTTGTGGATCTCTCCCTTCTGCGCTGCTGCCTTCAGGCTATGAATCCGGTTCTGAATGAGATATTGTTGCTTCGCCCATTGCGCCATCCACACATTTCCGTCGCCGAAGATAACCACACATTGTGCATGAATAGCCTCATGACTCATGTCGTCTCCGGCGTAGCGCCGCGTACTGATGGTTACCATGGCGGAATGCGACTTGGCAGCTTTTGAAATTGTGATGTATGCCAACAGCTGATCACGACCTTCGAGAATGAGCGGTTGTCGCACCGTCATGTCTTGGATCTCCATCGCAGGTACACTGTGTGGCTCAGTGCGGTTCCATATATATATAGCCGCCGTGAGCGCCATATCAGCGTAGACAGAGCTGGGACACAGGGCCACTTGTCTGACCAGGTGTCCAGTAGCCACGGCTCGCAGGATTGGGTCATTCAGGTCGGAAACAAATGAAATCGTTCCGCCGCCCGCCACGAGCTCTTCTTTTTCAATTCTTTGTATCGTGGGCGTAGGCTCGAATGATCTCCAATCAGACTTCAGCCCACGAGTAGGGCTGTGTTTGGTGATCAACCAGTCCCCTCTGTATTGCAGCCAATAACTTTTGAGGTCAAAAGAATAGGGCGGCAACGGCAGAAATTTTAAGCGCGTCTCATGCTCTCGATGTATCGCATCCCAGTCGATCTCGAAACCAACACTGTAGGCCTTTGCGACACTCTGAGAGAGTGTGAGCCAGTCGCTTTGATTGGGAGTCATCGACAGAAGTGACGGCACGGACCGCTTTCCTAGGATCGACTTGGTCATGGGCGCGCAAAACGGACGCGCGCCGATATCTACCCAGAACGTTGATTTCTCATTGTAGTCGCCCCGCGAAATGATTGCTTGGATAGCCTGACCAAAGAGAACCGGTTGTCGAGCCTGTCGGCTCAAATATTCTGCGCAGAAAACACCCGGCTCGGATACGACCACGCCCAAACAAGTTGATGCAACAGGAACAGCGGGTCGATTGAACCGAACCTGTCGAGCCAGAGCTTCGAAGGACTGTAGGCATTGGTCGAGTTGCGCTGAATGAAAGGCATAGGGGACCCGCAAAATTTCGTGGTGGATGTCGCTGGCGCTCAGAGAGCTGGCTAAGGAGCTGATATCCTCGACGGTGCCACCTACGACTGTAGAGCTGGGGCTGTTGTAACATGAAACCTTCGCCAGAGGAGAAGCTCCCGACTAGCAGAAGATTCTCAACTTCTTCCGGAGAGACTTTTATCACCATCATTGCGTGGCTTCCTCGCTTGCAGTATTTCTCTATAAGCCTAGCCCGTTGCCCGACCAAGTAAAGCGAGTCGTGTAAGCTAAGCACACCAACAATGCACAGGGCTGCATATGTGCTCAGATTATGCCCGCAGACAAGCCGCGGAGTGACTCCCCAAGAACGCCAGAGACTGGCGAGGGCAATACCCACGGCGAAAGTGACTAGTTGTTCCTGAACAGTGCTTGTCTGGGTAAAATCGAGATTGTTATCTGATAGAGAATGGACGGCAGGCCTGAACTGTGACACATCTGGTCGATCTCCTGGATCTTGTCAAAGAAGTGCTTGCTGCTGTACATGAGCTGCTGACCCATACCCTGGTAGAGTGACCCTTGGCCAGCGAAAAGAAAGACGGTACTCGGGGATTGTTGGGCAGCAGTCAAAGTCTCATCAAGAGGCTCGCTCAGTTGAGAGACGAGCTCTTGGACGGTAGAAAAGGTGTACGCTTTTCGATGTGGATGATGCATTTGACGAGCGGTCATCGAGTAGGCTAGGTCTGATATACTGGTATTGGGGTGTTCTTGCAAGAACTGAATCAGACGGTCCATGTTCCCTATAAGAGCATGCGGTGTCTTTGCTGACACCGTCACAATCTGGGAAGAGCGATGCTCTTGTGTCAGGCCACCGCCGGTTTCGGCTTGTTCTGCCGTGTGTTCTTCTAATAGTAGACTCGTGTTTCCACCAGCTGCGTTGAAATTATTCACCAAAATCTTCCGCAGCCTGGTGCCGGCTAGGAAAGGCATCTTCATCCTGGGAATCTGGATGTTGAGAGCGCGAAACTGCTCGGCGGGAATGTTTGGGTTGATGACATTCTTGATTCCCACATGCGGCGGGATGATCGATTTTTGAAGCATCAGCACAGACCTGATGATTGATGCTACTCCGGACGCAGACTCGCCATGGCCAATATTTGATTTGACGGCTCCGAGATACAAGGGCGAGCTGTCTCTCGAGCGTGAAGAAAATGCCCGAGCAACCGCTGAGGTTTCTGCCACGTCCCCAGCCTGGGTTCCTGTTCCATGCATCTCCACATAATCCACCTCAGTCGGCTCCACATCGGCTCCCTCAAAAACCGTAGTGAACAATCGTTCTTGTGTGGGAGCATGGGGATGGGTGTAGAAATGGCATCAGCGGAATGATTAGTCGATATTGCCCGAATCACAGCTTGAATAGGATCTCGGTTGCGAATCGCGTCTTCCAAGCGCTTCATCACCAGCACACCTAGAAAAGGCAAGGCCAGAGGTAGATCAGATATGAATAGAAACTATTATACGTACCGACTCCCTCCCCACGGCAATAGCCGTCAGCAGCGGCGTCCCACGTTTTGCACGACCCAGTGGGGGACAAGAACCCGCCACGACTCAACCCCGCGAAGGGGTCAGAGGAGGTCATGATGTTCACGCCCCCTGCGACAGCCATGTCGCACTCATTGTTTTCCTGGGCCATCGCCGCAATCTATATCGCCGCCATACTAGATGAACACGCGGTATCGACACTATAACTTGGGCCATCCCACCCGAAATGGTGATTAAGTCGTCCCGAGCCGAATGCGCGCATGCCGCCGGGAGTCCAGAAGATCCCCACATCCTGGCCTGCGTTGGTTTCGCGGTAATCATCACTGGTCTGACCGACAAAGGTGCCCACGCGATGAGCGCGGCCCGAGGATCCGCGGCCGGGGGAATATCCGGCCATTTGGAGCGCCTCATACGTCGTCATCAGAAGTAGCCGCTGGGAGGGATCCATTGCCGCCGCCTCCTTGGCAGAAAGGTTAAATAGACGAGCGTCAAACAAATCTGGGTTATCTAGGAAGCACCCGTAAGGGGTCAGAGTTGTGTTAGGGATCCGACCGGTGATATCATGTTGGTTTCAGTACTGAAGCGATTGGCAGGAATCTGAGGTGTATCAGTATTGTTCTAGTTGCCAGGATAGCAGGATGCATAGTGAGCTGTACCAGTCGATGGAGGTCCAGTCCTTTTTCGAGGATCTCCCAGAACGTGTTTAAGCTATCGGCGCCAGGAAATCGTCCCGCCATGCCAATAATTGCGAAGCCACCGCGATGTTCCAATTGTGATACCTAGACATGGTGGGTCTGGGTTGAGTTCAACGTATGCTCTAGGGCATGCAATGCGTTAGACGGACCCAGCACCGTGAGAGATGTGTCTGTCCGGCTTTGAGTCCTGAGACTTTTCAGCACAGTCACTAGATGCACTGGGTGTTGAAGAATGTCATGCACGGCGATGTGTAGGTAGTCACGCAGCGTCAGAGCGTCGTGCACTGTAAGGCCAGTGTGGGTGGAGATGAGAGATGATTTGGGGTTTCGCGGCTGATCTAGAAGAGAAGAGTTCCCAATAATTGAATCAGGAATGGTCGGATAAATAAGGCTAGAATGGTACGCGGCGAAGATGGGGATTGAAATTATGCGAGCGCGAGGCATATAGTCATGCATGAAGTCTGCAAAGCCCTGCAGCGCAGAAGGCGGACCGGCGACAGTAAACGACGAGTTGGCGATGACACTGATGTAGGGTTGTAGCATTGGAGAAGCAGTCTGTTGGCTTGATCAGCTGACGCTCTCAGGCTCGACTCAACTTGTTTCTTCTGGTGTTGATTGCCTACACAAGTCTCATTGAACTGTTGTAGGGCACCCCGTAGCTGTTCTTCGGTGACGCCAGAGACGGACACTGCCCAGCTGCCTTGAACAACTGTGAGGGCATGTGAGCAACGACTGACGTAAAGTCCCAACCGAAAAGCTATGCAAGTGATCTCAGGTCCGATCCTCAGGACTTCCGATGCATTGGTGAGGCATGCTGCTGTCGCTGCTGGGAGCATCCCCGTACACAGGCCCACCATTATCCGCTTTGCAGATTGGAGGAAGTCCGGCAGCTGCTGTTCCAAATATCTTCAAGTAAAGTTTCACTGTATGTTACCTTACTTCGTCGACATACTGTATCTCTTCTGTCGTCACACTTACACATATAGATACCCTAGTTGACAGATAGTGAGGAGCACGGTGACGATTGCCGGCCTGTGCTCATCCACCGAGGCCTCTACGGCGAGGAGAAAGTCTCCTAAAGTTCGACATGCCCATTCCGCCTGACTGGTCACGGGTAAGGTCCGGACACCAGTTTGGAGGACTTCGGTACTGCGTCGTAGAAACTGGTCGAGGTCGGGCAAGCGCTTGGCTGAGCGAAGCAGCGCTCGCAGGGAGGAATCTAGGTTGGCAGTCTGATCTCCGAAGTGAACAAGGCTGACTGAATCATGATGGGCCATGATAGAGCAAAGAAATGAAGAGTGAGAAAGTTGGAGAGAGCATGATCCATTTGACTGTGCCTTGTGCTGGCAAGCATCCTTTTGTATTGTTGTAATGTAGTTCAAACTGTTGTTATCAAGTGCTTGTTGAGGGGGAGGTAAGTTATCCAAGGCTTGGCTCCAAGGCTGCAAGGCTCCGAAGCTCATCCACGGTCCACGGCCCGCGGCAGCTGCAGTTCCGCCTTCCCGATGTGGACGGTTGTTTGGGAGGTTCCAATTGCCAGTCGATAGAAGTAATGTACTGTAATTACAGAACTAGGACCAACACAAGCACTGGCAGGTGCCCAGCTGCCTACAAGCATGATCTTCAGTGGTTCAGTCGAATTGTTTGCTTCTGTAGATCCCCGTTAGACCAAGCCTCTGTGAAACAAACCCTTCGCGGAAAATAGCAAACTTCTTTTGATTGGGGTTCGCCCCCTTTCGAGGGGAAGAAAACAAGGGACCCATGAAAGGCGTTTTACAAACATTTCCAAGTCACTGTTCACTTCCGTCTCCCACATCGTTTGCACCCTGGTTATCCCTTCGTCGACCGCCGAGCTTGTGGGGAGCGTGAGTGTCGCGGAGCCCTCGTCTAACAGCGGTCCACAAGCCACCGCGATGCCCAGTGTTGGTAATACCGGCAAACCCCGTGGCCATCGGTGAAGCGATGCGAAGGACTACAGCCCACGGTGCCGCCCGAGTCCCAATACGAATCCCAAACTGTATAAACGAGTCTAGAAGTTATAAGCTGCATCACGACATTAGGACAAGTATGATACATATAACGGTACGTACACATACAGGACATGAAGCTTGACAGAAGTCGACTTAGGAATGTGAAGCACAATTGAACTCTGTACCTTACGTGCACAAGTCAATTTAAGGGGGGCGGGGGGCAGGGGGCGAGTTGACATGAGATAGATTATGCTCATTGAGAAAAAAAAAATAACAAAAAGGAGAACGAAACCATGGCTAAATCGTGACACCATGTGGATATATTTCTCTGCTGTCAGCTTCTAGAAATCCATAGGGTACTCACAATAAGCCTACGCGTTGCCGATCAGATCCGCGGCCTTCTCGGCTAGCGCATAGAGCACGGCCTGATAATGACCGGCCAAGGACAAGGGCAAGACGCTGGCATCGACCACCCGCAATCTCTCGACTCCATACACCCGCAGCTGGGTATCGACCACTTTGCCCATCGCTGCGGAGCCTGCTGGATGATAGAAGGTGGCTCCGCCGCGCTTGACGACCTCGTCAATTTCCGCATCGGTCGAGGTGGCGCTCAGAGGTCCCAGGCCCGGCCGCGGAACTTCTTCGACCACCATCTCCTGTCCCTCCGGCGTGTCACGGAGCAAACGCGTCACCTGGCGGATGGCCGCCCGCAGGATGGCACGATCCACCTCGGTACCGTAGTAATTGGGATCGACCAGGGGCGCGGCATGCGGATCAGCCGAGGCCAGGGTGATGCTGCCGCGCGAGGTGGGGACCACCCCCAGGACCGCGGAGGCGATGTGGGTGCCATCCATGGGGACGTCGACGCCGGCTACCGCCGCCCCTGCGGGCGCGTACACGACCAAGGTCTCAACGTGACAGAAATCGGGCGCAAAGTAGGGATGGTTCTCGATCTCGGCCGCACTGATTCCATCCGCCTGCAGGGCTCGCATCAACTCCGCCCGCGGCGTCGGCTGCACCGTTGCGACCCAGTCACAGGGAAGCCCTAACCCATAGGCCGGCTTCTGCCAGAAGGGCGTTCCAATGGACAGGCCCTTTTCAGGGTGTCGCAGCTTCCACCACTGGTTCAGAGAGAAATGGTCGTGAAAATTGCGTCCCACCTCGGGTGCGTCTACCTGGACGGGAATGCGATGTTTGGTTAGCTCTTCGCGGGGCCCTATGCCCGATAGCATCAACACTTGAGGGGTCCGATAGGCACCGGCGGCGATGACCACTTCCTGTGCAGCGTGGAAGGTGGTCCCGTTGGGGAGCTCAACACCGGTTGCGAGCTTGTTGTTGTTGCCGTCTTTTCCAGCCAGTAGGACCCGCTTGACCAAGGCCTCGGTTCGAATGGTGATGTTGGACTTCTGGAGGACCTGGTAGGCCTCACTGGCAAGCTGGCGTTGACCATCGTGCCAATTTTCGGTCAGCGCAGCCAATCCTAGCGGGTGACCAGCATTGCCGTCAGCGATGGACTCTACACCCAAACGACTCCATGCGGCGCGCAGGGGGTCACGGAGGGGATATTTGCGGTCAAGGCTACTGGAGGCAACAGTGGCGTTATGGATAGGACCTGATTGGCCATGGATGGTGGGATCAGCGTTGGGGTCCCAGTGCGTCTCCGAACGCTTGAAGTAAGGAAGAAGGCCCTTATAGCTCCAACTCTCATCGTTGACCAGCTGTGCCCAAAGGTTGTAGTCAGCCGCGTTTCCACGAGTCCAGGTTCCATAGTTAGTGGCGGTGCCACCTCCTAAGGCTTTCCCAGCAGCATTATAGCACTGCCGGCCGTCTAAGTGGCGCTGGGGTATAGTTTGATAGGCCCAGTCTAGTGGGGAGAGGTGAGCACCAAAGCAAGCAAGCGGTGCGCTGGTCAAAGGATGACCAACAACATTCGAACCGGCTTCTAGAAGAAGAATCGTACGCGAGGGGTGTTGCTCAGCAAGGCGACCGGCCAGGGCCGAGCCGGTGAGACCACCACCCACGATAATGTAGTCGTACGTAGCCATGGTTGGTTTATTGATGAAGACGCTGGCAATAATGATGATACTGATGGCACTGGTAAGAAAAGACACGAGAGGAAGAAAGAGGACCGAATTGAGGATGAAGGTAAGAATAAGAATCACATTCGAAAGAATGAGAAGGGGGGTGGGGTGCTATTTATGATTTGATTATTGGCATGAGCTGTGTACTTGAGCCCAGAGACATAGTTTAGTTACCCACAGCAGTTAGTCAATCCAGGCAAATAGTATCTAGACCTTCCTTTAGCTCGGCCTTGGGTAAGCTCACTGCCGCAACCTCACCATCAATCACAGGGAAAGCTGCCCCCTTTGTCCCTGTTGGGAGCAAATCTGGGCTGTATGGCACCAAGCATTTAGTGCTGACAGTGGGTTCGGGGGAAGGATGATTATGACAAGGGCCTTGGTGCCTGAGGTGCCAGCTCACCGCCCACCCGGCTGCCTTAGCTAGTTCCTCCGAGATAGCCTCACGTAGGAGAATCAATCCTTCTTCACACCTGCCAGAGGCGTCATCAGATTAGATTGGATTGTTGGGCTCGGGATTAGTTGGGAGCGGTGTCGATTTGGGGCCCCCTATAGTGTAGAGTTGACTGCGGTGAGTTCACTGCCGCATCATGGGGGTTTCGTGGATTGCTGCGCCGATATTTGTACTCGGCGCCTGCTTACATGAACTGGCTGAAAGCGGACAGAGCTTTGACCTGCATAATTAGCTTCAGGCTTCAGTGTTATGCTTTCGATGTGGTTGGCAAGATCACGTTCGGCAGCGATTCGGTAAGATGACCCTTCCTTTTGTTCTCGGTTTCTCCCTCGTTGGGCCTTTGAACTTGCTCTGTCAAATCCGTGATTGAAAATGAGAAGAGAAGACACTGACCATAATCTTGCAGGATTCATGCAAAGATATTGAGGGAACAATTGATGCCCTCCAGAAGTTTCTCACCTAGACGGCCTTGATCGGATTCTTCCGCGAATGGCATTCACGACGCTACGGCCCTCTCGACCGACTTTGATCCTCAGGGCTCAATAGTCGGTCATATATCATCAGTTTTCTGTAGAGAAAAAGGTCCGTCAACTAGACAAGACCGCTGGTCGACACAAGGAGCCGCAGCAAGAGGATCCCCCAACAAGCCAGGGGTCACGAAAGAATTAACAGCAGCAACAACTCCCCAAGACTTCATGGAGTGCATGGCCGGCGAGCGGGCCCGAGATCCGGACAAGGTCAATGACTTCCACATGATGATGATGGGAGGTTCTAACCTAGTGCATGAATACAACTTAAGAACTGAAACTTGATGAGAATATATAGTTGTTGAAACAATATCCAGGTTATACGTAGGATTGTAGTTCTCGGAAGTAGAGTCGGACCGAACCCCATCCTCGGCCCAGGGAAATCCGGGGCAAGACCCGCTCACGCTTGATTCGGGCCTTTCACATGTCATGATAACAACCAACCTTGCCTACAATTCAACTTCTCCCTGTCCCTGTTCTTCTCCTCCTCCTCCTCCTCTTCCTCCTCCTCCTTCTTCTTCTTCTCTTCTCCCCACTAGAATTTCACCCCACTTTCTTACCTACTACCATAATCTCATTTCCCTCATTGTTCTCTCCATCCGGTGTCATGCTTCCCTTATCGTTGTCAACCCTGGCTAGCTACGGTAGATAACTGATTTATCTACCTACTTCCCAGCCGCCGCCATGGCCGTCCAGTCCAAGCTCCTCTCCCTGCCGCCCGAGCGCTGGTCCCTCCCCTTACGCCCACTCCTCTCCAAATTCACCTCCCTTTACCTCCGCCATCGCAAGCAGATCTCCCGAACCGTCTATTTAGCCCTCTTCGCTGCCCTCGCCAAACGCATCCACAATGCCATCTCCGAGCAGAAAGCCGCCTCCCAGCAACAGGCGGAGATGCGGAGCAAGCGGCCCGGGACCAGCAGTCTAGGCGACAGCGGCAACGCCAACGGCAGCGGCAGCGGCGATATCCCGCGTAAGAAAGTCGAGGTGAACCGCGAGTTTTTCCGGAATCTGCTGCGGCTGCTCAAGATCGTGATCCCGGGGTGGAGGAGTAAGGAGCTGCGGTTGTTGTTCGGCCACAGTGTGTTTCTGGTGCTGAGAACATTGCTGAGTCTGTATGTCGCCGAGTTGGACGGGCGGTTGGTGAGCAATCTCGTGAGGGGCAAGGGGAAGGACTTCTTGTTGGGGTTGGTGTGGTGGATGATGGTCGCGGTGCCGGCCACGTTCACGAACTCGATGGTGAGTATAGTCATGGATGATGTTTAGACAAAGGAAAAGGACCACTCCCTGACCTCATCGCCAGCTGTCATACCACCAATGCAAATTAGCCCTGAGTTATCGCAAGCGTCTCACGGACTACATCCACGAGAAATACCTCTCGAATATGACCTTCTACGCCATCTCCGCCCTGGACGATCGGGTCAAGAACCCGGACCAGCTTATCACGGTCGACGTGTCCCGCTTCTCCGATAGTCTGGCGGAGCTGTACTCGAACCTGGCCAAGCCCGTCCTCGACATGGCCATCTATAACTACTCGCTGTCCAAGAGTGTCGGCGGCGAGGGACTCTTCCTCATGGGTCTGCTGGTGCAGGTCTCGGCCAACGTCATGCGGGCCCTGACGCCGCCCTTCGGGAAATATGTGGCCGACGAAGCTCGTCTGGAAGGAGAGTTCCGGTTCCTTCACTCACGCCTGATTGACTACAGCGAGGAGATCGCGCTCTACCATGGCCACGAAGCCGAGAAGGACACTCTCGACAAGGGCTATTTCACCCTAATCAAGCACGTGAACCGCATCCTGCGGAGACGGCTCTACCACGGCTTCATGGAAGATTTCGTAATCAAGTACTTTTGGGGCGCTCTGGGCCTGATCCTGTGCAGCATTCCCGTTTTCTTCAAGATCCCCGGCCAAGTCACCCAGACCATGGGTGATCGGACCGAAAGTAAGCCTGCCTCCTCCAGATTCCCGTAACCGATTACATAGAACCATCTAACACATCCGGACCAACAGGCTTCGTCACCAACCGCCGCATGCTTCTCTCCTCCTCCGACGCCTTCGGCCGCCTCATGTTCTCCTACAAGGAAATCTCCGAGCTCGCCGGCCACACCGCCCGCGTCTCGACCCTCCTCGAGGTCATGGACGATCTGCAATCAGGCCACTTCGAGAAGAAACTGGTCTCATCCGCGACGGACTCGACCTCAGCGCACGCTGCAACCCTAGCCTCCCGGGGCACCGTCACCGAAACCGCAGACGCGATCGAATTCCGCGACGTACCCATTGTCTCCCCGAACGGGGACATCCTGGTGCGGGCGCTCTCCTTCGCCGTACGACCCGGGGACCACCTGCTGATCGTCGGCCCCAACGGATGCGGGAAATCCTCGCTGTTCCGCATCCTGGGCGGCCTGTGGCCCGTGTACGGCGGCACGGTGCGCAAACCCCCGCCGGACCAGATCTTCTACATCCCGCAGCGGCCGTACCTGTCGCGGGGCACGCTGCGGCAGCAGGTGATCTACCCGGACAGCCTGCGCGACATGCGGGCCAAGGGCGTCACGGACGAGGACCTGCACGCGATTCTGGCGGTCATCGAGATCGCGGGCGTGGTCGACCGCCCCGGCGGCTGGGACGCCGAGGAGGAGTGGCGCGACGTCCTCTCCGGCGGGCTGCAGCAGCGCATCGCCATGGCCCGCCTCTTCTACCATAGGCCCCAGTACGCCATCCTCGACGAGTGCACCTCCTCCGTCACCCTCGAGGTCGAGCGCATCATGTACGAGACCGCCAAGCGTCTGGGCATCACCCTCATGACCGTCTCCCATCGCCGCAGTCTCTGGAAGTACCACCGTCGCATCCTGCAGTTCGACGGCCAGGGCGGCTACATCTTCACCAAGCTGGATTGGGAGCGGCGGTTGAAGTTGGAGGAGTATGTTTGCCCTGTCCCCCCATCATGCCCAAAGATCTAAACTAATCATCGTGTGTGGAACAGTGAGAAAGAAGACCTGGAGCTTCATCTCCGAGCCGTTCCGGAACTGCAGAAGCGCATGGCCGAGCTAACCGCCTAATCGACTAAGGAGGGGGCGTTTATATATACTGAATGTCGTTATAGAGTTTTCTCTGGTCGATTTCTTTCCCCTTGCCTGACTTTACCTCTGTAGCCTCTTTTACACCGATCTCCCTCACGTACTTAAATCTTGTTGATAGTATCGATATCGATCATGTAAGAATTATGCCAAAGATACGTGTCTTGAGCCAAGATCTACATAAAGAAATGGAACCGATGGAAGTAAAGCTCATGAATAGAAGACAGGCGCAGCGGTATTGGCAAGACAACTATGCAAGGAGCAAAAAAGATAAGCACATACAGAAGAAGCTCTCTTTCCTCGCTCCCTTTAAACCACCGTTTCCTCCCCCGCCCTATTTCACTCACTCAAACCGGATCGAGGCCGTGAAGTTTTGTCACGAATTAATCCTTGACAACAAGCGGCTCAATGTTCCAGATACTTTCGGCATACTCGCTGATGACCCGGTCGGTTGAGAAGAAGCCCATGCGCGCCACGCTGATGATGGACTTGGAGAGCCATTCCTCGCGGTTGCGGAAGGACTCGTCCACCAGGTCCTGCGTGGTGATGTACGAGTTGAAATCGTCCGAAACCAGGTAGTAGTCGCCGTGCTCGACGATCGAGGCCAGCAGCGCCGAGAAGCTGTTCACGTCCCCGAACATTCCGCCGCGGATCGCCTCAAAGACCTTGGCCAGGTGGGGGTCCAGCTGGAAATTGCCGTAGAGGTGCCGGTGCCGGAGCTCCTCGACATCCTCAGCGAGGTTGCCGAACAGGAAGATGTTCTGCTCGCCGATTTCCCGCGTGATCTCAATCTGCACCCAGAGTTAGCATCATCATCACCATCCTTGTCATTACCACTGTAAAAGAAAACAAGGGATGGTTTCCATACATTAGCTCCGTCGCAGGTACCAATGATCAAGCCGCCATTCATGACGAACTTCATGTTACTAGTTCCACTTCCTTCCGTACCCGCCGTTGAGATGTGCTCGCTGATGTCCGAAGCAGGACAGATGATCTCTGCCTTGCTAACGTTGTAATCCGCCACGAAGATGACTTTCAGAAGATCGCCAACGTCGGGATCTTCGTTGACAACCGAGGCGACCTTGTTGATCAGGTGGATGACGGTCTTCGCCATCCAGTAGCCCGGGGCGGCCTTACCACCAAAGATCGATACGCGTGGCAACACCTTCTTCTTTTCCTCGGCGGACATGGACTTGATCTTCAGGTATCGGTGAATTACTCCGAAGATGTTGAGCTGCTGTCGTTTGTACTCGTGGATACGCTTGACCTGAATGTCGAACAATGCGTTCGGGTTCACGCTGTACCCGGTTGTCTCCTTGATGTGTTTTGCCAGACGGAGCTTGTTGGCAGTCTTGATCTCTTCCCACTCTTTCTGGAAGGCCTTGTCATCGGCAAATGCCTCCAGTTGGTCCAAAAGGGTCAAATCGGTCAAGAAATCGTAGCCTCCCAATCTAGAAGCTATCAAGTCAGAGAGGCGAGGATTTGCCTGGTGCAGCCAACGACGCGGAGTGACGCCATTAGTGACATTGGTGAACTTGTCAGGGCCATAGATGGTCACAAAGTCCTTGAATAGAGTCGTTCGGAGAAGGTCTGAATGCAGTTCTGCGACTCCGTTCACTTTGTGGGATCCGATAATAGCAATATATGCCATCCTCACCATCTTAGGGTGGGACTCCTCGATGATCGACACCCGAGACAGCATTTCTCTGTCCTCCGGGAAATTCTTCTCCACAAACTGCAAGAAATACAAGTTGATATCGAAGATGATCTGCATGTGCCGTGGCAAAAGGCTCTGCACCAGGGGGACAGACCATTTCTCCAGAGCCTCCGGTAGGACGGTGTGGTTTGTGTAACCGAATGTCTTGGTGACGATACCCCAGGCCTCGTCCCACTCCAAGCCCTCCTGGTCAATCAGGATGCGCTGCAGCTCGACAACAGCCAAAGTCGGATGTGTGTCATTGAGCTGGATGGCAACTTGGTCGGGAAACTCGCTCCAGGATCTCTTTGTCTTCTTGAATCTTCGAATAATGTCGAACAAGGAGGCGGCACACCAGAAGTACTGCTGCTTCAGTCTGAGCTCCTTACCGCGGTCCAGGCTGTCGTTAGGGTATAGCACTGCTGAGATGGTTTCTGCGCGTTGCTGCTCCGCGACTGCACTCTCATAGTCGCCTGCATTGAATTTCTGGAAGTTGAACTCTCCGCTAGAAGCCTTGGCCGACCATAGTCGTAGATTGTTTGTAGTGCGAGTGCCGTATCCGGGGACGGGAACATCGTATGCCACGGCCTGAACAACTTCGCCGTCCTGCCACGAATTCACGGTCTTGCCGTTCTCATCTTGATACTTCCGAACCCAACCGTAGAATTGGACGTCAACAGTGATTTCATGCCGAGGGAACTCCCACGGGTTGAAATCGAGCCAATAGTCAGGAACCTCCATCTGATAGCCATCGACAATCTCCTGTTTGAAGATACCATATCGGTATCGAAGGCCGTAGCCCCATGCAGGGTAGTTGAGTGTGGCCATACTGTCAAGGAAACAAGCAGCCAAGCGTCCAAGACCTCCATTACCCAGGGCAGCATCATGCTCCTGGCTGATCACATCTTCGATGCGGAACCCAAGGTCCTTCAAGCCCTCTGCGGCACATCGCATATGACATTAGCAAGGGCTCGTGCAGTCGCGACCGCGGATTGAGGGCTTACCTCGGGCAGCATCCTTCAAACCAACGTTAAGCATTGCATTATCCAAGGCTCTTCCCATCAAGAATTCGAGAGATAGATCTGTTAATGAAGTATAAGCAAGCGGTCCGCCTACTGAGGGGAATTACTTGGCTCACGTACAGTACACCCGCTTCTGATCTGCAGAAGCCTGTCGCTGCTGGGTCTTGTTCCACTCGATAATCAAGCGGTCCCTGAAAGCCAAGGCAGTTCCGGAGTATGCAGCCCTGGACAACTATGAGATTCTCTTTTGATGCGCGAGGGAGTAGGACGGAGGAACCAACAATTCATCGCAGTTGTAGAGCGAGCGAGCCAGTGTAGTTTCAATGTGGCGAACCAGCTCATTCTGTCATAGCAATTAGCATGTGAAGACATCACCAATCATTTGTCTATAGTCTACCTCAAAGTCTTCCTTGTTGGTAAAGCCATTGACGGACTAGTCAGCGAGTAATGTTAGCCACGGATCTCTGAGGGGTATAGTACACATGCTGTGAGCTTACGTGTTTCTTCCACCTAAGAGATTGTACAAGTCAGTTCAGTGGACTTCCAATGGCTGGTTGCAAATACGCCTGAGCTCTCTGGGAAGCGGCCGCCAGGATCTTTGGTGTAACCGAAGAAGAGGGGTGAAACCGGGTACTCACGCCTCTCTCAGGTGCTCAGGGATGCTAGCCTCGACACTCTTGATTTCTGCTGGGCCAAAGCCGGTGAAAGTACGTCTGTGCTTGGGGCGGCTGAAGCTGGGGCCAACAGGGCCTTGAAGCTCGGAGACGGGAGCTCCAACGGAGGGTCTCCTTTCGCGGCGACTTTCAGCCATTATGACGGTCGAAATGTGAAACGTTCGGTATCTTGAAGGTCGCTGAGAGTAATTGGGACTGGGAAGCTGATGTCAGTTGAGAGCCGTGCACCCAATGAATCAGACTCTGTGGAATCCAAGCTAACCACACCAAAAGAAAGCGAAAGGAAGAGTTCTTCACTAGAGATGGGGAGAAGGAAGCGGAGTACGAGGGAGGGGGAGGAGGGGACGAACGAAGGGAAGGAAGGCAGAGAGCGGGTACACAAACCCCGACTTAAGAAGGATGCGAGATGCGAGAGCTCGAGGAAGCGGAATCCTACGCACCGCACCGCGTGACAGGGAGCTCTCGATTGAATTGAGGTTCCAGGATTAAAGCAAGGCAGGGAAAGAGGGTGACGAGGGGATCAGAGGGGTTGATTGAATCGCTGACAGGACTACTCCGTATACTGAGGGGGAACCAGGGATCCGATCATACGTTGGCACGTTGACTGGGCCGTTCCCCATGCACGTTGACCGTATGTCTAGACCCTGGTAGAACCGGGGCTTGCATAGTGCCAGATGGCGTGGGAACTAATTGCACGACGGATGGCTCGGAATCGGGAGGAAGGCCTCTTAGTGTCATGTATTGAGTAGGTAAATATATTCTGGGATACTAGCAAGAGATGGTTTGGATCAGCTCATTGGTCAATGACACCATCATCGACTGATGTTGGTGATAGTGATGACGATGAAGCTGTTGGGTTGAGGGTGAGACATTAAATATGGGACGAGAAAGTTGCAGCGCTGACCGATAAGATAGAGAGATAGCGGTTCAGTTTGATGGCCGCGATGGCAGTGATGCCGTCACGTCACGGGTCAGTCGGTGTCTGTGCTTTGCGGTGCTGAGCGCTGGGCTGTGAGCTGCAGCTGCAGCCGCCAATTCCCCGGACAGCCGCTATGACGCACCTCCACTGCATCCCGCGGGGGATCAGACAATCATGAATGAATAATTCATCTCGGTTGTTCTTGTTTGTCTGAGAGTACAGATGGGAGCAACTGGGAGCAGAAGAGAGCATGCAAGAGCATGACTGAGGAGACTGAGGAGATTGAGGTGTGAAATCAATGCCTTCATTGGGAGTACTGTAAGTAGTACAGTACATACTTTAAGGAGTTGGTGATGATCGGTGATGATCAGTCGGTCAGTGGTGGTCTCAGCTTAGTTTTTGGTCCAACTGCAAACATCTCTTCCTCCCTCCCTCCCTCCCTCCCTCCCTCCCACTCCACCCCCAAACTCAACCCCGCACTTCCAATTCTACTCACAACTCAAATAATAATTGAGAACAGACCTCGACCATTGTTGACCCTCCTGCAAGGTCCTCCATTCCTCATGACCTTCCCCCGCTTTGCTACGTTCGCAAAAATCACCCGTCCAACTGCACTTCCAACAGAAGACAAAGAAAATTCACGTGGTTTAGATTACATGTATATAGTCGCTACCAATGATTGTGAGAGATGAATAAAGATTCGCGGTCACGGGCGAACTGCGCAATAAGGAAATGGACACTTGTAGCGAACAAAAAAAGGATAGCAAGAATGGAGAATTAGAGAGACAGATTATGATAGATATGGGAATGAGAGATCGCCGTCCAAATGCATGACATCAATAGGAAATAGGAAAATCAAGATGGGAAAAGGAAGTTCAAATGAAGGGGGAGGGAGGAGGAGGAAGGACAAGAAAGAAAAGAGACAGCTTGAAGCGCATGAGAACTGAATATCAAGCGCCCCCCTCATACAAGCTATATGCAAAGTAAAGTTGAAGCCATTAACTTTTCAGCTTGGGATGAAAAATCTCATCAACTCCCAAGCTCGCTGAAAGGTTAAAGGGCATCCAATCATGGCCAACCCAGACCAAGTCTCCCTATTGAGCAAGCCATCCCGACCCTAAAACAAAAGAAACTGGAACACAATAACACCTTGCCAGGTAAATCAACAGACCCATACCATTCCAACGCCAGGCACTTCAAACTGTGACACGAGTCAAGCACCGCAACGCCGACGCCAACCCACAGAAAACAACACATGTGGGTAACCATGAGAATCATGAGGCAGGAAAACAAAACAAATGGCTCAAGGAAAAGGAGAAAGAAAGGAAGGCAAGAGAGGGACGGTGAGAGGAAAGGCCATGGACAACTCAACACCGCGGCCATGCCGTGAATGGAGTTCCCTCTGATAGGCGTCCCACTGACATGTGGAACATAGGAAAAGGTTGGAGAATCACGGTGGGAAGATCTAATCAACCAGTTGACAAACGCCATATTTCTCCCTGGCAGCATAGCATTTCCTGCCAGCAATACTTCGACTGGCCGAGGAGCTCACCACTCTAAAGGATACCGGAATCTTTAAGGGCGTTTTGTAATATCGTCTCTTTCACGGCAGCGAAGACTAATCGGATGTTGGTGGTATCGGTAGCTTGAGTAAGACTGTGCGGGAATAGTCAGAGATCATGGAGCTGCAGTCTCGGCGACAAGGCGGACTTACTGAGGGTAGAGATTCAAATGCGCCCGATTGACTTGATTGAATCTCCACAGAAGATACTTGGCGGCGCGATTTACATCATTGCCGCCCGAGTAATCGGGGAAGTAGTTGTTCAACGGCGACCGAGGGAGTTTTTGTCGGAAAAGGTCGACCTTATTTAGAAAGAGGATGATACTCGTTCGCATGAACCATCGAGAGTTGACAACAGAGTCGAACAGCACCAAGCTTTCCATCATCCGATTCTTCCAGCCAGTTAGATGCTGTATCCACTGACGGTGAGCATCAAGAGACATACCTGATTGCTTTCCTCTAATAGAACTTGGTCATATTCGCTAAGCGCCACACAGAAGATGATGGATGTGACATTTTCGAAACAGTGAATCCACTTCTTGCGCTCACTGCGCTGGCCGCCCACGTCGAACATGCTAGACACCAGGTTAGCATCACAGAAGACGCAGTGATCAAATTGGAATAACAGAGGCACATACTGTATGCTTAGTTGGCCCATCGTAAAGCGAGTCTCATAGATACCGGTAGTCTTTGTTCGCGCGCGAAGCACATCATTTACACTGGGGATGTAATCTGGAGCTGATATTCGTTTGGCTTCCTCGAAAAAACTAGTTCCTTCTCGTCAGTGTGCAGGCCGCGCGCGGTGAGATAGAGGGCGGGCACTCTTACTAGGGCGCGGAATCCATCAGATAGAATTCGTTCTGGTGCTCTAAGACCGTCGACGTACAGGGGTCATTCCAGAGGTAAGTGATCGCATCCCCAACCTTACTGTCGAGCGGCACGTTGGGATCGGGGTTGATATTGTATTCGAAGATGTACTGGATATAATCGCGGACTTTTTGACTCGATGGTTCCAGAGAGAACTGGTGATAAGCGGCGATGAGCGATTTGGCGCAATCAAGGAGGTTCTTGTATACGGTCAGACGATATAATGACAACTCTTCGACCGTGTAGCCATTCTGATGGATGATCTTCATCTGCTTGACGATTGTCGACTTCCCGCTTTCTCCGGAGCCTAGACAAGACACATCCTGTTAGCGCAGGCCTCCATAGTCTCACCGTTCAGACAAGGGGCACGAAACCGACCGAGTAGTAAGATCTTGCATTCTCGCCGTAGTCGTCTCGAATCTTCTTCCAATTTGCGATCGATAGCCTGGCTCCTCCGCTTCTGTTCAACATCTCCGGTCGCCTCGGAGCTCATACACGAACCCATTTTCTCGTATAATTCCCAGGCAGCGGAGAACTAGCCCATTAGCTGCCTGCGGAAGCGTGCGGCATCCACCTATCAGACCGCTGACACCTGAAACCCCCGGGAGATGCAGTTCTCGAACAGTAGGTCGAACTAGGTCTGAGACCGGTCGAATCGTAGGACGACTGGGGAAAATGGCGCGATCGAAAGACAATGGAGAGGTCTCGTGGGTTTGCGATCGTCGAAGAAGGCTCGACTAGGGATCGAGGCTTGCGCGCGGAACGGTGTAAGGCAAAACCACACCGGACAGGTTCGGGGTTTGGAACAACAACGAGGGCCTGAGCGACGTCTGCAAGCTTCGGAAACCGTAAGTGGTGTGACCCGTGATATGGGAGGTTGAGAGGAGAGGTGAGGAGAAAGGCGAGGGCGAAGGAAACTAGGGAGGTGAGTCGGTTGAGGAGGATGGTTGGATAAAGAGCAGGGTCGGTTGCGTGGTAGATACGTTATAGCTCTCGCGGCGTCTGAGCTGAGAGGAAAAGCTGGGGTGAGGGGCGTGTCAGAGTTCCCAGTGCGGAGCAGCAAAACGAACGAGAATGACGACCTGACGCTAAAAAAGGGTAGTCAAGGTCGATCGGGAGTTGATGTGGGAAAGTGGATGGAGGCGCGCGGATCTCGAGTGAGATAATGTAAGCAAGCAACGAGGATCTGCTGTGGTCGGTCGGCAAATGGTCGATCGGGGGTGGTGTTGGAGGGGAAAGGGATGGAGGGATTGAAGTGGTGGTAAGGTAGGGTAAGTAGGTAAGATTTGTAGATTGATTGATTGATCTATTAATGGTTCATGATTAATGGTTCATATGTTTGGGGAAGAAGGGGGAGGGTGGTGTGGAAAGAGAGGAAATGACAGCTCGTGGGTGTTTCAGAGGAAAGGCGGGTAAGTTTGTTAAGTTAGTTAACTTAGTTGGTCGTCGATTAGTTTAGTGAGAGTAGGGAATGACTGTAGTGAGACGGATGGATGTTGGATGTTGGATGGGAATTCGAGGAGTGGATATCCCCAATCGTCATAGCACTCGTTTTCACCTTACCCAGTGTTCAAAAGTCCGTTAGGTTAGTTCGTTAGTTAACTTAAGGTCGACAGGTGGAAGTGGAGATTTGAGGAGACCGAGAGACCGAGGGAAGGGAAAGATTACATACACTTGTTCGATCGTAGGGGTGATGAGTGGGTATTCGTTGGTAAAAAAACGTGGACCGCCCACTCTCGACTTGCCCGGAGACTGGTAGACTACTAGTAAGTTACCTACGTCTTTAGTCTAACCAACTGGACGGAGTGCTGGACTTACCCTACTAGTGTCTAGTTCGATCGGGGTCCAGATGACCAGATGCGCCGACAACAAAGGGTCTTGACTGCCAAGCTGGATTCTTTGATTTGTCCTTCTCTCCAATTTCAAACTACGGAGTACGAGGTGCTCAATTATCTACAATACTCTGTGCTTAGCTCCAGTGTCGCCGAGACAGACCACTGCAGTACCAGCCAGCCAAGCCCTTCTTAGAGACTGGGACGGAAAATACTCCCCCGACAGGTTCCGCTAGTCACTTGTATACTAAACTTACTGCTTGCTACCTTTCATATTTACCTAGTAGGTACAGTACAGCACCATGTTCGAAAGTTTCACAGTTGTCCTCATGAACAACTTGCCAGACCCGTGGTAGGAGGCATTGACGGCGACGGTGCTATAAGCAAAGTCGCGTACGGAATGTCCCTCCTCCTCGACGGAGTATTCATTCCGGACTACTAGACATGCACGGAACACAGAGCCACACGGGAGAAGATCCCATGGACTGATATTCTTTGGACCTCTGTCTGTCATGGTGTTAAGCTGTCGGAATCATAATTGTCAGAGGCTGATTCGAGGTCACACTAACTTAGCAGTAGCTGAGGTAGGGATACCAGCTTTCCCCCAACAATGACTCCGAAGGCTGCACCACTCCTCATTGACCGGGTTATTGATCCTGACTATGCACATTTATATATGGGAGAGTCTAGTATTTTAGATAGACTTCATGGTATTAGGCTTAAAACTAGGTGTCTTATCCAAATCTATATATAATCAAGCCCGGGGTGCGATCGGGTCGGAGTTCCAGAGTTAGACTACAGGGCGTCTATTGACATGGGTTCTTGGCTTGTCATTGTTCTTCCCCCCTCCTCATCATTCGCTACTCTCGTTGCTGATGGTCCGTGAGAAACAAAGGCACATGGCTATGAGTGGGCTCGGGAACATGCGGCGCTCGCAAGTTCAAGACAGGTTCTTCCACCCTGCACTTTTCAAGTACGAAGAAGATTACGGGGTACCATTTGCTGGGTTCAAATTGCTCTGAACTTATTGGTACTAGGTATATATATTGATGTCCAGCTACCTCGGTAGCAGTGTTCGAGCTGTAATGCCCCACCTTGAACACAATCTATTGGATTGGAACCTCAAACGCTGAACACCATACTTCTTCAACCTCACTACCTTATAGGTTGATCATTTCCGATCATTTCCCATCTACCGTTCTCATGTTTCGACAGTACCTAGATAGGCATGTCTTACCCAGGCGGATCAGGCACGCTTTACTATGTAACCCGAACCCGAGTCGTGGCACGAATAAATAAATGACGGGGAGTCTGGATATAAAGGTGACCTACTCCAGGAAAATGTAAAATCAACCGAGTCTCGGGTAAACCAGGAAGAATGTTCCAAAGGAAAGTCGCTCTCTTAAACAGTACATAAGCGCTTGGACCCAACGAGGGGCGGGCGGCCTTTACCGACAACCGCAACATGTTGTCTCGACCTGGTGGAGTCAAGAATTGAGACAGTCCAGATAGTTAATCGATTTAGATAATTCTTAAATCTGGGGGAAGGGGGGAAGGGAGCCTCAGTCCCTGAAGGCTATATACAGGACTAGTAGATGTAATATAGGTTATACTCAGTAGATAAGGATATAGCTAGAAAAGGGGAACTGAGATCGATTGCCATAGGGGAGACAGAGAAAAGGCAGACTTGAGAAGGCGGAGGCGGTAAGAGGTATAGATCTAGAGGGGGACAGCGGGAAAAAAGATGGAGCGGGATGGGTTTTGACGCGCGAAGGAAATGGAAGTGATTGGAACCGTCACCTTGCAGACCCACCAAGGTATGATGACATCGTCCAGCAAAGGTCGAAACATTACGTAGTGAAAAGCCAGCCAGCCAGCCTAGTCCAGCCGGAAGTCCATGCTTCGACCTGGCTGGCCATTCTATTATGTGCGCATCTGGATTTCTTCCATAATCGGCCGATATATCGATGTGATTCTGGTTCTGATTCCCAGACCGGTACCGCCACAACTTTCGAATTGCCAATATAGATGTGTTATACAGGATCTTGATATGATCCTCATTTTTATTGTGGTTTTGGTTTCGGTTGTCATGGTCACTGTCGTAGATGCGGTTGTGGGGTAGTATAGAAATCAATGTTGCAATCTGAATGAATGTACCGTCCTGAAGTCATCGACTGGGTTCTTCAGGTACCACGCATGAAAGCCAGAGTTCTTCTGGGGGAAAAAGTATCCCTACGTCTCCGTAGTCCTCCTTAGCAGCCAGTGAGTTATGCTAGACGGTTAGGTAAGCGTAGTGAGAGAACAGCATCATCTGTAGGGGTGTCCACTTCCGGCCAATAGATTCCGACGAAAAAAGGGTTCTAGACAAGAAAAATCTGGGATCAAGCCAGCCAGGTCGTGGGAGGAAAGGAGAAGAGGGATAACTAGGGGAAACGAAATCACACCAACCCAAATTTCTGGCTTAAGGCTGCGGTGTGTGTGTGTGTGTGTGTTGATTATGGCGGCGGCAGTTTTTCTGCCATACCCTGCTTCGTTCGCGGACGTCATCGGTCTTGTTTTGGGCGTTCCGGAAACTCGAACTCAACGGACTAGGAAGAAGAATGGTCTTTTCCCCACACACCCTGCTGGGGCGCCACCTACGGCTTTTGCTGCCTCGCTACTCACTCACTCACTCACCATCTCATTCTTGTTCTTGCTTTCTCTTTTCTCCCCCTCTCTCCAAGTTTGGTGCGCTTGACATCTTAACTTAGATATTCCTCCCTGCGCCCGCAGGACCTGGTCTTCTTCTTTCTCCAGACATCATTTCCTCCCTCTCACTCTTACTCCTCCTCCATTTCTCTCTCCCCCTCACTCTCGCTCCCCCCCCTTCACATCCTCGCTACGTTATCCACCGCCCCCCGAGAATCTCCGTTCCAAAATACAAACCCCCGTATTTCCTCCCTTTCTGCATTGAACTGAACCTGGTGTGCCATCCATCCTTGGTTCAAAATGGCGGAATTCGTGCGTGCCCAGATTTTTGGCACCACTTTTGAGATCACCAGCCGGTAGGACGGACTGAGCCCAAATTACCCCTCCAAGCGTGTCGGGATGACTTCTAACTTCGGACTTCACAGGTACACCGACTTGCAGCCGGTGGGAATGGGCGCCTTCGGTCTTGTCTGGTATGGCTATTAACAGCGGCCCCGTTTCTTGCTTTTTGATCGCGACGCCTGGTTTCTGCAGGTCAATCAACCGAGCATTTTACTGACATGCGCCCCTTTGGGTTCGACCAGTTCGGCGCGGGATCAATTGACCGGGCAACCAGTCGCCGTCAAGAAAATCATGAAGCCATTCAGCACACCCGTCCTGTCCAAGAGAACATACCGCGAATTAAAACTGTTGAAACACCTGCGACACGAAAATGTTGGTCTATGCCGCTTGACGGCGATTCGCCGCCCCGCCGTGCTCCCAAGGCTGACAATTTGCAGATCATCAGTCTGAGCGATATCTTTATCTCCCCGCTGGAGGATATGTACGCATTCGTCATTATTCCCTGCGACAAGTTTAACTCTAACATGGTAACCGCAGTTATTTCGTCACAGAGCTGCTGGGCACCGATCTCCACAGATTGTTAACTTCGCGGCCTCTTGAAAAGCAATTTATTCAATATTTCCTTTACCAGATTCTGGTATGTAGTCGGCACCGATCCTGTCATCTCGTCTCCCAGACGCTTTCTCGTGACGGTCACTAACGGTCTATAGCGGGGGTTGAAATATGTCCACTCGGCCGGTGTCGTTCATCGTGACCTCAAACCCAGCAACATCCTTATCAACGAGAACTGCGACCTGAAAATCTGCGATTTCGGTCTTGCCCGTATCCAGGATCCGCAGATGACCGGCTATGTTTCGACCCGGTATTACCGTGCGCCTGAGATCATGCTCACTTGGCAGAAGTACGACGTGGAGGTGGATATTTGGAGCGCAGCATGTATTTTTGCGGAGATGCTGGAAGGAAAGCCCCTGTTTCCCGGAAAAGATCACGTCAATCAATTCTCGATCATCACGGAGCTGCTGGGAACTCCGCCCGACGACGTGATCCAGACAATTTGCAGCGAGAATGTGGGTGACAATCGGTTCGAATCCTCCAGCGCCGAAAACTAACTCTTATTGTGATCATTAGACGTTGCGATTCGTCAAGTCGCTACCCAAGCGTGAGCGACAACCTCTGGCCACCAAGTTCAAGAATGCCGATCCAGATGGTACGAATATCATGTCCTCCTTTGCGGTTGAAGGCGAGAGCCTTGCTGACATTTATTAGCGGTCGATCTGCTGGAAAAAATGCTTGTATTTGACCCGAAGAAGCGCATCCGGGCTGGCGAGGCCCTTGCCCACGAGTACCTTGCCCCGTATCACGATCCGACCGACGAGCCTGAGGCTGAGGAGAAGTTCGACTGGTCATTCAACGATGCCGACCTACCTGTGGATACATGGAAGATTATGATGTGGGTTTCATAACGGCACGATGCAGAGGAATCCACAATGCTGACAACAAGACAGGTACTCCGAAATCCTGGACTTCCACAACATCGACCAGGGCAACGATGCCGGTCAAGTGCTTGTCGAGGGGGCTGCGGCCGGACAGCAGAGCTTTGCATGAGGAGAGATTCCTGCCTAAAATTACCCTTGACGAGGTGCACGGAATATGATAATGATGTCCTTTCCTTTTATGTTCTCATGGTATGTAGACTGGATGCGGGGATTGTGATATGCACGTTCACGTACTTATGTTCTGGCCACTACATCGCTTGTTTTTTATGCCCCCCCCCTTTTTTTTTGTTTCTCAATGATCTCCAGGCTGTTACAAAGTCCGGATAATGTTGGAGATTAGAAACGTCTGTAACATGACCCAACTGTTTGGATTTTTCCATTCTGCTATACATACACTTTACATTATTCCGGTCATGATCGACGGAACATTGTTTTGCCTTTCCTTCTCACCAAGTGGTGAATATTGTTTCCCCCCTTTTTTTGAGGTGTGCTTGATAGATTTTGCTCAACACTGAAGCAAGTTACCTAATAATCAATGCAATGACTGTATACAACTGCCTTGAAACCACTTCAATGATATTATCCGAAAAGAACACCCGAAGGAAAGATAAGATATCTGATTGGATTGTTGTCTGTCTCGTATCTGAACTACCTTACTAAACCTATCTTTTACTCCGCTATAGCAGGAGAACCTAAGATAACTTAGGGGTAGACAAAAATGTTGGGTTTATTTCCTTCCTGTTGTCATATTGGGGAAGGGAAGGGGGGTCCTTGCAGTGGGTGGGGGGATCCATCACCGCTCTCTGTCACCGCCCGCCCGCTGAGGAGGAGGAGGGGGAGGAGGAGGAGGAGGAGGAGGAGGAGGTGGTGGTGGTAGTAGCAGTAGCAGTAGCAGTA